TGTACAGTGGCGGGGCTATTACATGAATTCACTGAATGCTCAGTAGTAAAAACACGTAAAATGATAGGTTTAATTTTAGGGATTTCGCGTAATTACTAAAAATTTCAGTGATTACGTGAAACCCCTGAGTGAAACGGGGATTACGTGTATTCACTAAAATATTCAGTGATTACGGGTATTCTCTAGGTACGTATTCTTACTGTAACATACATACATTTACTTATTCTCTGTTATCTAGTATTCTGCGTCAATGCATTATCTAGTGTTTAGACTCTTGCCATGGTCAACAGTAGCTCTGTAGACTTTGTTCATGGTCACGTGTAGCTGTGTGTACATATAATAATATTATTGTATTTTTAAATAACAATACACCTAAAAAGCGCTGTGCATCCGTTCTGCGAGCAGGTTTGACATTGGCAATAGCAGCCACTGCTACTCGGAATAAAGGACAGCTACTAGGCGACCAACAGTTAGGCTTGTCCTGACGCCATGACGCAGAGCAGCCACAGTAGTTTATTTCTAATGTTATTTGATCTGTATCGACTATCCTAACTAGCTGCGACTGTGAGGCTCTGGGAGCCCTATAAATAGGCAGACAAATCAGTATGACTGACCCCCCCCCCCCCCCGGCATCTTCCTGCTTCTTTGTACACTTCTGTGTGTCCGGACTCATCGCTCCCCAACAAGGACAAAGTTCTAGCTGCTCGGTACTTAGTTAGGAGAAATTTGACGTCAATTTGTTTTTTGAAAATTTCACAATATATCAAGCTTATTCGAATGTAGTTTCTTGATTTTGAACATATCAATAACGATTGTGAATAATCCTCTACGGTTTTGATTAATCAGATAGAACATTAATTTTAGTTTCTATTCTCATGGTTTTAGTTACTCAAACGGCCAAAAATGTCAGATAGAATTTGTAATTCTAAGACAGCGATACGGGTTGCTTACAGAGAGTGAGTCTGATGTGCAGGCAGCTGTTTGCCACTTTGCACAAACATCTTGCGCCAGTCTTCACTGAACTCGTTTCCTTATTTCTTTTTCTACTTGCCTTTCTTATCTCTGATCCCTGACGAAACATCCGGCAGCGAGAGAGGAGTGCAGTAGTAGATTCAGTTTACATGTAACTGGGAGCTGTTGGCACACATCTAACATAGGAGGGGCCGTGAATATGAATGTATTGGTCGTTTTGCCGTGTAAGAGGTATGAGATGAACTCAGTAGGACTCTTAGTATTTCAGCTGTCTTTTCTAAGCCTGCAAAGCTCACTTTCCAGGGAAAGGAGAATTTCTTGGAAAGAAATGCAGTAAAATGAGGTAGGGCTTGAAGAAGCCTACGTATGCCGCTCGACAAATTTTGAAAAAAAAACAACCCAACAAAACATCCTGGAAAAGACAAATTTCCATGCAGTTTCCGGGACACTTGAATAGACACCAAGGTTTGGAACATAAAGCTCTCACTTGAAAAGTGGCGGCGAAAGAGGCAGGGTAAACCCAGAGCAACCTACTTGGAGAGCAGAAACAGATGGGTGACGGGACAAGATCCGGCTAATCTTGCTTTTTTTGGAGAATCATGATGTCCGTCGCAGATTTTGCACTTGATGATGATATTTATGTCAGTCTTTGTTTTCATATTATGTTGCATAATAAGCATAATACAGCTGTTGGTTTTTTTATTGTTGATTTTTTTTTTCAAGTGGAAAGTTTGTAAAGTCTGTGTGTATCACTAGAGTGTCATTGTATAGTGTCTGGTTCCAGACTTAGTCTACATAGTACAGCTTCATTGGTCATTTATCAACTGGATTTTATCATCATACAGGTTTCATATTTTTACATGGCAAATGCGCGTGGAGACTTTGTGTGGTAGAATGGAAAGTAAATATGACTAGCTGGGCCCCCTTTCGATGAAAGGAATAAACAAATTGTTGAGGAAGAGTAGGCACGGCTGGTGAACGGAAGCCTCACTTGTTTACAACGTCGTCTTAGAAGACGGACTTTCCCATGATTAGATCTAAACGAAACTAATGAAAAACTGAAAATTAAGCTTAGATCTATACGGGTCCTACACTTTAAATAGTGCTCAGTAATGCGCGAAAATGCGTGATAGTATCGAACAGAAGTACAACTTGAAATAAACAAACCTGCCGGATTTTCTAAAATTACAGAGACAGAAGCGTCGGCCTACAAAAGCGATCGGCGAAATAAAGGATTTTAGCTTTTTGCAGCAAAGCTGTCTCAAAACTGAAAAAACGAAGGGCGTCATGATCTGGGGAATATTTTAAAGAATCTTTTGGCGAAAACCGCATGTCGATCGATGCTGCCATTAAAAAGCCTTTTGAATAGCAAAATCCGGCCACCACAAATAGATAATAGAAGTAGAGTGGGCCAGGTCAAAGACGTCGAGGCGTTTTGTTGTTTAGTACAATAGGCTCTCTTGTTCCCTGCCGATCAACTCAATTTCTATCCATGATTTTAGTAGCTTCAACCAATGTCTGAAAACTCAGATTTACAGTAACCGTGTGGATTTCCTTCTACAGAGCCCTTTTCATATATTACCCCCCCCTCTCCAGCCCCCCCCCCTCTCTCTCTCTGTCTCTCTCTCTCTGTCTCTGTCTCTCTGTCTGTCTCTCTCTCTGTCTGTCTGTCTGTCTGTCTGTCTGTCTGTCTGTCTGTCTCTCTCTCTCTCTCTCTCTCTCTCTCTCTCTCTCTCTCTCTCTCTCTCTCTCTCTCTCCACACACACACGGTCAATTCAACAAACCATGAACTCTGGTTATGTTTATTGATTTTCATACTTTGATGAGTCAGTCTTTTTGTCATTTCTTTCTTTCTTTCTTCCTTTTGTAGTTAGGATGGGGGGAGGAGGGGGTGGCGCCCACAGCATATTGTGGGACTTCTTTTCAATCCAACACTGGCGGGTGGGTGGTGTGGTTTGCTCCTTCTTTCTTACGCAACATCTATCGTCCTTATCTCTCCCTCATCTTTAAAAAAATGATGTGTTCGTTACTCTGTCGTAACACCTCTAATCTTCGTCATTTCTGTGACCTTGTTGTGATGCAAGCACCATAGAACTCCCTAAAACCGAACACATTAAGACTGAGGCAATTGTGAAGTTCAGAATCGGATGCTTTGTTGGGACAGTTTTCTGTGGACGTAGATGCTGGACGCTGTAAACCGTGGCGGTATTTCCCCAAGTCCTATAGGAAATGGTGGGACCGGTCTGAAGTGGGGGTGAGTGTCTTCGAGGAACCAGAGGTGAGTGAGTGAGTGAGTGAGTGAGTGAGTGAGTGAGTGAGTGAGTGAGTGAGTGAGTGTGTGTGTGTATGTGTGTGTGTGTGGGGGTGGGGGGTTTGTTTGTTTACTTGTATGTTTGTGTATGTGTGTGAGTGTGTGTTTGTTTGTTTGTTTGTGTGCGTGTGTATGTGTGTGTGTGTGTTTGTTGGTGTGTCTACATGTTTGTTAGAGTGTGTTTGGGTGGTGTTTTTGTTTCATACGGGTTTTGTAAGTTTGTTTGTTCTTAGGGGGGATTTTTTGTTTGAGGGGAAGGGGAGGGGGTGAGGGGGAATTGTATGCTTTGCTATAATGTTTCTAAAGGTTTTCTCTGTCAGTTTATGTGTCTTCACTTCTGTTGTAGGTTTTTTTTTCCCCGCCTTCGACAGTACTGACAAATCTTTGCTGTAGTCTTGCTGAACAAAGAACGAACAAATTGTTATTTTGCCTGCTTGCTACGACCTGACTTTATTGCCATCCCCCATGTCCATCCACCTCTGTCTGTCTGTCTGTCTGTCTGTCTGTCTGTCTGTCTGTCTGTCTGTCTGTCT